TCTTCTACTTTCCCCAGCTCCTCCCACCTTAGGGGTGGGGGGTGGGTTTTATAAATAAATCTCTCTCTATATATATGTACATAGGAAAAACCAAATATACATACTTATTTTCTATGGACCAACCAGATTAATTTAAATGCCACAGGAAACAAACTTTGTGTGTGTGTGTATGTGTAGGGGATGGGTGTTCATTTTGAAGGGGTCTTGTGTAATTTGCTCTACTCTATTTTTGGGGGTACCTGAAAGTGGACTGGAGGGGCCACTTGAAGCTCAGTAAAGCTTTGCCCCATCCTCCTTCTGTTTCCCAAGGCAGATGGGGTGTTGCAGGGCCCACCAGCCCCCAAAGCTTTAGGCACAACTCTTAACTGGCTGTGTATGGGTCCACCCTCTCTTTCTCTCTCCATCTTGGCTGCTGTTGTGCCCCGACCCAACCGGCCCCCCACCCCCTCATGTTGAATGTCCAGAGACTTGCTAAGACAGTGCCTTTTACAAATGCAGTTTATCCCCTGGTTTTGGGGAACGAGTGGGTGGTGGAGATGGTATCTCCCTTACCTCCTCCTCATGCAGTGGAAACTTTGTGCAAAGCGTAGCTAGTTCTGCCCTTTTTTGTTTTTTCCCCTGTGTGTGTGTGTGTGTGTGGCCTTTGCACCGTTTTCCTTGTGGAAGAGAAGATTTCGGGCCATGGGAGGCCTCCGCCCTTGAAATCCCTCTGTGGCTCTAGCATTGTGAACCACTTCAGCCCCGGGTCCCCCTACCCCCACCCAGGCACCCACACCAGCCAGCCTGGTGGTAGAATCTCACTTGGGGACCTGGAGTGGAGAGGTGGAGTGGGGTGAACCTCAGACAAGCACAGACCCCAGATTTCGCTAAAGGCGAACAGCCCTCCAGTCCTCTCCCCACCCCCAGCTGAGGCCCAGTCAGGAAAGAGCCTCGGGGGCACCTGAAAGCACAAGACAGACACGTGTAAGCTCTGTCCTCAGCTCCATCCTGAGAGGTCAGTGGACCACCCCTGAGGGGCAGGCCCCGGGAGCTCCCTGCCTACCCGTTTTCTTCCAATGTACATAGGTCAGATCGGGGAGGAGGCAAGACTCTGTCACAACCTAGGTGTCTGGGTCGGGTCCCCCCAGTGGGTTTGTCTGTGTTTGCACCTGGTCCGCTGTCTGAGGTGCTATGACTGTACCCTCCTCCTACCCTGGGACATTTGCATCTCCTGGCTTTGTAATAAATGCTGCATATTCTCCAGAGCCTCTAGTTCTTTGGGGCAGAGGGGACAGGGAGAGGATGGGTGGGTCCCCTGGCCTCCTCATACCTCTCGTCTCTAGGCTCAGCATGCCTTGGAATAAACCATATGGAATAAACCAGAATGGCCTCTCTCCTGTGGCCCGTCTGGTACCCCCAGACCAGGGTTAGGAGCCAGAGCGGGGGTATGCCCTGTGCCCCCCCAGTGACCACAAGAATACCATTCTGGATGGGCAGGCTTGTTTAATGCCACCTTCTCCACCAGCAGGTACTAATCCAGGGGCCTGTTCCTGGCTGCCCCAGGTTAGAGACTTCAGGCTATGGGAGTAAGTCCTTTATAAACCAGCTGGGTACTGGGGTCCCTGGATGATCCCTTCTTGGCTCGGCACACCCTGCCCTTCCCCACAAAGGGGGTGCCTGTCAGAGAGGCTGGGGCTGATGAGCAGCCCCCCTCAGAGTGGGGAGCCCACTTCTGCCTTCTGCACCCTCTCGCTCCTGTGGGTGCCATCGCAGTACGGGGGCTTCTGAGTGGCCTTGCAGGTACACAGGGCCACCATTCGGGTCTCCTGGGCTTTGAACTTGAGTGGGGAGAGGCCAGTGCGCTGGAAGAAGTGGGAGCCGTCACAGAAGGGCTGGGGAGGGAAAGAGAAGTTAAGAGCGCTGGCCCCACCTGTGGGGTGGGCAGGTCTGGGAGGAGCAGGGCACCGTGGTTAGGGCTCCCGCTCCTGAGTGACACTAGTTTACCTCTCATTTGTAGTGTGAGGATAAGAGTTGAGTTGTCCTAAGGAAATCATAATCATTTATTATGCACTTTGCATACAGTAAGTGTTCAGTAAGTTTGAGTCATTACAGCATTAGTCTCCAGGGCACAAGGACAGAATTTCCAAGGTGAAATGGGCCTTAGGTTTTACACCAATAGTTTTTTTTTTTTTAATGGCCCAGTCTCCACTGCCTCATGAAATTCATTTCTTTCCCCATCCGGTAAAAACGGGGTTGGAGAGGCTGCATGCATCACAGGGCTTTAAGGCAGACTGGGGTATCAGTATTTTGGCAGGGAGTGGGTGTACCAGGGAGGAAGGGGTGTCCTGTAGTGAACTGGCTGCCTGGTGCCAGCATATACTCCTCGTCCATCCCAGCAGGGGCTCGAGCAGAACCGGTAACGGAAACCGAGGCCCATGGAGGTGCTGCGACTTGCTGTTAGTGGGCCTCTTGGCTTTGGGGCCAGGGTGGGGTCGGAGGAAGCCAGCCACTCTCCAGCTGAAGTTCCCTTAGCCCTGTCCCCCCTCATGAGGACCTGCTCCAAATCGAACAGTGGCCGAGCAGGGCTTGGAGAAACACAGCTCAGAGCTCAGCACCGGGAGGAAAGGGGCCCTGGAGGCTGAGAATATGGAGCAGGTTCCCGCCGGATGAAAGGCTCCTGGGGCCGAAGGGAGCAGGCAGCCAGGCTGCGGCCCGCCGGCAACCAGGAAAGTCAGATAAACAGAAAGGGAAGGGTTTTCAGAAGACTGGGAAGGGGCACTGGGGGGGCAGCGAAACTGGGCAGTCTTCCCAACGATGGGGTCCCAGGCTGGGAACCTTTGGCCCAGATGCTTCTTAGGAGCAAGGAGAGAGGAAGAGAGAGACAGGCAAGCCCCTCTGCTTAGAACAGAGCCTGGCATGAGCCTCTGAGACGGGAGCACCAGAAGCAAAGTCCAGAACCCTGGGGAGGGGAGGGGCGGGCTAGAAGAGGTCAATGTGTGTGTGGGGGGGGGGGGGGATGGAACATGCAATACTTTCAACAATAAAGATTTTTAAAATCTAAAATAAAAATAAATGAGATTTAAAACCACAGAAACCAGAACCCTGGGTTCCACCCGCCTGGCTGTGTGACTGAGTTTCTGTATCTCCGGACTCGTCTCTAAGGGTTGATACAGACAGAGCTCAGGCTATGGGTGCGCCAGCCTGAGTATTTTTTTTCTTGAGAGGGAGCTCTCAGACACACCCTGCTTTCCCAGCCAGGGGTGTCGGATGTCAATGGGAGGGGGTAGGGTCTCTCACCTGCTTCTTGCTGCGGCCACACACGCACCACCTGTAGGTTTTCCCTGCCACTAGCTCCACCTTGATGGGTGTTTTCAGGGCCACCACGGACTTGGCTGGGGCTTTGGGGAACCATTTGGCCTGTGGCAGGGAAGATGAGGGGCTTGGGGTCAGCCCAGGTCCTGGAAGCACTTTGGTCCTATGGCGGCCGGTGTCCACTGGCCTGGCTTGTGGCAGGCTTCCTCTGGGATGACACCCAGCAAGGATATTCCTGCCCCCCCCAACCCCGCCTACCTCCCCCCCCCCCCAAGACACACTAAGTACCCCGAGCTCCAGATAGGCATGCAGGTTTGGAGACCCAGCTGCTTTCTCTCAAAACCCTGGCTCCACCTGGTGCTAGGGAGGGGAGGGCGGGGATCCTGCCAGCCTAAGCCGGCCAACGGCACCTGGGGCTTGGTTTATCAGGCATCGCTGGCTCCCTGCCCTGTGCCCTCTGGTCCAGCCTGCCTCCCCTGAGTCATCAGGAGGTGGCTACAGGCAAGGCAACTGCAGGCTGAAGCCTAGAAAGAAGGGCTGACCCTTCCTGGTTCCCTTCGCTGGTCCCTACCTGGGGGGCCTGGGGAACTTGGGCAGAGAGAAGGGGAAACGGGGGGGGGGGGGGGGGCGGGGGGACGACTTACCAGCCAGGATGAGATGTCACGCCTCTGGTTCAGCTTCTGCAAGGCGCGCAGTCATCACAATACCGTGATTTGGAAACAGAAAAAAAAAGTCAATGGGAAGCGGAGGGCGTCCGGAGAGGAGTCATCTGGGAAGGAAGAGATGACCGCTTCTGGGCGGAGGAGAAATGCGAGGGTAAGAGAATGGGATCACAGGACAGGAAGGAGAGCCGCTGGGGCGGTGCTGGCCCGCGGCAGGCGCTCGGGAGGGCTGCACGGCGCGGCGACGCGGGGACTTCGGGGGCCGAGCAGCCGAGGGGCAGGCGGGCGGGGCTTGGGGGGGCGCATCGGGGGCGGGCGGGGCTTGGGGGGGCATCGGGCGCGGAGAGGAGGGGCGGGCGGCGCCGGGGATGCTCACCCAGGCCACTGGTCGCAGGAGCGCGCCCACGCCACCCATGCTGGGCCTCGCAGCCACGCCGCTCGGGCTCCGCCCCGCTCCGGGTCACCTTTCCGCTCACTCCCGCCTCCGGCCCGCCCGGCCCCGCCTCGGCCGGAAGACGCCGCGGGATTCCGCGCGGGTGGGGGCCGGAGGTCCGCGCGGTCCGGTACCGCCCCAACCGCGGGAGGCCAAGCCGAGGCCCGTCCGGCAGCCTCCGCGGGCCCCGTCCCCGCGCCCTCTTTGGTACCCGCAGGTCTGCGGAGTGACCCGCGGAGCATCGCCTTTCGTTTCCCCGCGTGCGCTCCCAGCCCCCCCCACCCCCACCCCCACCCCCCCCCGCGGGCGGGGGGCCGTACCCTCCCGGGGGCCGTTTCTCCTGCAGAGTCTGGCAGTGTTTCTAGGAGCGCGGGGCGGGCACACCTAGGGAGCGTGTTTTTAAGATTCCACCAGCCCGGCCTACGCATCACATCCTCGTGGGTGGGCGCAGGTACGTGAATGTTCAGGGTGCAGTCCTGGTGTGCATTCCGGGGAACTGTTACCCTAGTGCTTGAAGACTGTACTAGACATGCCCCCCTCCCCAGGCTCCCACAGTTGGCAGGCACCTCCCTTTCCCTTCAGTAAAGCCAGACAAAGCAGGGTCTCTTTGGAGGGTTTTTTTTTTTTTTTTTGTAAAACATTCTTTTATTAAAAGAACAAGTGCTGTTTACGAACTGCCCTTCGTACAAATAACATCCGTTATACAAAGATACAAGATCCAGGTTATGCACAATTCCAGGCTTGGAGGTGGCGGGTGTTGGGGGGAGGGGGCATTGCCTTTTGGGGTGAGAATATAAAGGAGGTTTTAGAAAGAATGAAAAAGGAGCCCTGGGTTTGCAAACCATGGCGTCCCCTTCCCGCTCCCCTAGGAAGGGGCTGCTACGCTGAGACAGGCTGGGATGGAATGGGGGTGGGCAGGTCAAGGTTGGCGTCTCGGGTCCTGCCACCTAAGTCCCACGTTGGGCTGGAGGAAGCAAACAAAGGGCAATGAAGGCGCCCTTCAGTCCCCAACTTCTCAGTAGATACGTCAGAGTGGCCAGGAGCTAGACACGTGTAGCCTGGTGGGTGTGACTGTAGGGGGTCAGGGTGCTGGGTCCCAGCTTCCCAGCTGAAGTGACTTAAATCCCACCGGACACTTCTCCCCAGGAAAGTACGCTGGGGTAAAGGAGAATGGGAGGAAGCTGCCTAGCCCTAACTGGCCTACCGCACACCAAGGAAGATGCTGGAAGCTGGCGGGAAGAGGCTGTGCCTTTGAAAACGTGTCTGCATTTCTAGCTCGGGAAAAAGAGGTGGAGAAGATCGCCCTTCCTCAGAGCTGGCCCCTCGTGTCTGGGTTCTTCCTAGGAGTACTCCCCAGGAACTCAGAACAGGAATGCTGGGGCGCTCTCATCAGCCTCAAGGTAAGGCCACCTGGAGGGAGCAGTAGACCGTGAGCCCGAGGGAAAAAACTCGCACACAGGAAAAGCTTTTTAAAAGCAACATTTAAAGTGTCATTGTCCGTGGAGAGGATCCATCAGCTCTGAGCTAAGACAGTCAGTGCTACATAGATAACCGCCCCCACCCCACCCCCGGCACAGCCCTGCACTCACACCGTACATCACATACACAAGGACAGCCAGGAAACCTCGTGGAGGTGGTGCAGTGGAGGGGGAGATGGGAGGACCAGGAGGCCAGTGTCCTGAGGGCTGGTCCTGGCTCTGCCAGAGCCCCAGCCCCTCCTGGGCTTGGAGGTATCACCTTTGAAGTGAGGATCTGGCTCAAATGACCCCTAAAGACAGGTCCCTTCCAGTCCTGACACTCATGCGCCAGCTGTGACCCCAAAGCCAGACAGCGGCCCTGCATGCACACCCCACTCGCATCTCCACGCTGAGGGTGATGACACACAAACTCCTGCCTGCATTTTCAAACTCCACTTCCGCCCTGCAAACCACATCCTTCCCGCCCCCCCCCCCCCCCAAGACAGAGTGCTCTACAAATCTGCATCCCTTCCCACTCCCCATCCAAATTCCCTGGAAAGAGGACTGAGGTTAGGTCAGTATAACCATCCCCCCCCACCACCACACACACATTGGGACCCTGCTCCTTCCTGAAGATCTCTAGGCCTTTCTTATGATAAAGCTCCCTAAACGATGAAAAGGTACCACCTCTCTCCGGCCCCTTCCCATTCCCAATCGGGGGGGACAGCACCGGTCCATACCAGCCCAGGTCCCATCTTCAAACCTAACCTGACTACCCACTGCTGTGCCTGCCTGGGGAAAGCTGGAAAACACAGACTCTGGGAGGTGAGAACCCCAGACTCCCGGGTGCGGGATGGGGGAGGAGGTCTTGGTTCCAGTGCACTAAATCATGGGGACCTCTCCCCCACAGCAGCCTTGGGTGGATTTGTCCCTCGCCACCCAGAACAGAAGTGGACTTCAGCTCTCAGTGGGCTGGCCTTCCGCAAGGGCGTGGGTGTGAATGAACAACTCTTCTAAGAATCTCTGAAAAAGTTGTTTTTCTTCTCAGTGATTTGGGGGCAGGGAGTTAGATAGCTTAACAGATGAAGATTAACACAATGCTGAATTCTATCATTTCTTCCTGATATTTAGCATTAATAAAAAGTGAGTATTTCTGAGGTCATCACGACTGCCACCCCTCCCCCCAAGCCCTTGCAAGGGCCTAAGAAATTGCCTTGGAAGGATTCCCACCCACCCCCTCCATTATCAGCTCCCTAACATATTACAAAGTCTTATCAACAGGAATATTAATATTATTTTCAGTATCAGAAAAAAACCAGTTGAGCAGCACAGGCAAAAATATATCTGCACTACGTTTCTGTCATTGCCAAAAATATACACATCTTCTTTTCTTTATTAAAAAAAAAAAACCAACAACAAAAACCCAAACAGGAACATACACACACACACACACACACACACACACACACACACATCCACACATGCAAAGAGACTGACGAGACATGAGCATCAGGGAAAGCTGGAAATGCCTTCTCCTGGCTCCAACCCCAGTGCAACTGAAACAGACACAGGCTTCAACCTTGCCCCTCTCCTGGCTGTCCCCCTGGCTCCTAGGCCTTTGCCACCAGAGGCTCTGGGCAGGTGGGGACTCCGTCAGGTGAGAATCTAAGCATTGCCCACTATGCCCCGAGGGAAACAGCTGGTGGGTGAAGGGACAGTTGCAGGTCAGCTTAAGCGTGAGTCTCCCCTGGTTGGTGGAGGTGGCGGTCTGGTCTGGTGCAGGAAGTAGCTGGCTAGTTCTGGCAGGGAGGTCTTCACAAAAGGAAGTGGCACTTGACCCTCCCTTGCTCTGTCCCCCAATCCCTGGGGCTCCCCTTGTGCCAGGGAAGCAGGACCAACTCTAGTGGAGGGCGGGGAGCTCTGAGGGAGCACGAAGACCATGAGGGATCTGGGGAAGGGAAGGCAGGATGTACCCTGATTCAAAGCCCTCAGCCCCCAGTTACTCTCCAATATTGGAGTACTGCTCTGATTTTTGTTAACCACGCATGCCCCAGAAAGGGACCAAAGTTGGTGAGGGTGCAAACAAGAGCTGGGAGCCCCCCTTCTGAGCACTGCTTCTATCCCTGTCCTCGGCTGCCCCAGGTCGGGGGAGACAGACGTACACACGTGTGTACACACACACACACGCACACACACGCACACACAGCTAACTCCATCTCCCCACCCTCGGCACTCCTAAATCCAATATCCAATAGTGCAAAAAGGGGCAGGGCACCCAGGGGGCTGGGTTTCCGCCCCCCAACCCATCATTGGGCTCCCCCAGAGGTGGGGAGGCTTGGGCTGAGTTTGAGGCCACCCTGCCCCTTCCTCAGCCTCCTAGTCTGTGGGCTTTTACAAGCTCAGCTTGTGACCCTTGGGGGGGGGGGTGGGCAGGGGAAGAAGACAGGTGAGAAACAGTCTAAGGGGTCCCTCCTGCCATCTGCCCACGTTGGGAAGAACTACAGTAGGGCCACTCCTTCTTCCTTAACAGATTTCTGCGCAGGGGCAGGCCCAGGACCTGTCCCATCAAGTGCTGATCCATTTTATGTGGTGGGTCCGACCAACCCCCCACTTATGCCGTGGCCCACTGTGCTCCCTGGAGGACCTCAACACGTTTGCTGAGAGGGGCTCCTAGGTCAGCTTGGAGCCCATCCTCCCTCTGAGCCCCTCACAAAGGGTCTCTGCAGAGGGGAAAGGGGCCAGAGAGAAGGAGCTCCCCTCCCGTCTCAGTCCTCAGCACCAGGCGCACCCCACACTCCCCAGGTCTTAGCACGTGCTCTGGGCTGGGACTCTCCAGGATCTGGGCGCAGGCGCCTGCTCCAGGCTAGGACCCCCTCAAGCCAGGATTGCCCCCTCCACTTTGGGGGTCAGGAGGGGTGTGGATGGATTTAGCCTTTTTCCTGGTTGGCTGAGGCTCCTTTGTCAGCGGTCTGGAAAGAGAGGAAGGGAGGCTGGGGGTTTGGGAGGTGTCTGGTCCTAACACCCAGCTGAGAACAGCTCTTTGGGGTTAAGAAAGCTTTTGAAAGGTGCAGTGAGGGAGCCCAGCTCAAGTTCCTGACCTGGGCTCTGATGGGTATACATCAAAGTCAACAACGTGTTGTGTGTGTGGGGGGCGGGGGGGGGGGGGGCGGGGAGAGAAGGGAAGTGTGCTCTGCACAAGGGTGCCTGGCTAGGCGGGCATGCTCCAGCCAAAGCCAGCACCCATGCCGTCTTTATGCCCTCAGAGTGGCATAAGTGGGCATTTCCAGAAAGGTCCACCCAGAGCATCATCTCTTTCTACTGAGAGAGGAAATGGCCTTTTCTAATTGGTCTTCCCAGAGGAATGCTGCTTCCTAATTGGTCCTTTTAGTATTAGCGCATGCTCAGAGCGCATCTTTCTTGGATCTGCAGGGGGGAACCCATGTGCCTGCAGAGGCCCTGGGGTCTGGAGCAGAGTGCTTTGCTGACCTAGGGGTCACTTCCTCCTGATGATGGACCTTCTGACGCTGCCTATCCCAGAGCAGGAAGACAGGACCGCCCCACAGCCCTTACTCACCCCTCCTTTGGGGCCACTGCCGCTGCTGTCCGCCCCCGACAGGCTGAGGAAGGGGTTGGTCTGAGCCGTCAGGACCGGAGGGCCGCCTGCTGCTGCTACTGCTGCTGCGGCAGCAGCTGCTGCGGCCATGAGACTTGTGTTGTTGCCGAGGGAGGGAGCCACCAGGGCTCCTGCGGGCAGCAGGGGTGGGGCAGATGCTGCGGGCAGCAGGCCAGGAGTGCCCGCAGACAGCAGGGGGGCAGAGCTTCCTGCCAGCAGGCTGGCCATGGGCAGCTGAGAGCCCCCGGCCATCTGCAGCCGCTGCAGCTCCCGCTTCTGCTGGATCTGCTGGATCATCTGGTAGACAACGGTCTGGTGTTCCTGCAAGCAGGCCAGACCGCTCATTGGCCAGTGGTTCCCGAGGCCAACGTGCCCTGCTAGGCCAGGCCCCATCCCCTCACAGTGGAGGCAGGAGATGGTCAAGGTTCTCTCGTCTCTAACTCCCCACTCTGGGCCTCAGCCTCCCCATCTGGACAAGAAAGTGGTTGCACACCGTCAGTGTTGGTCACGTGGGGCAATACTGGCCAAGCACAGGGTGCTCAACATCCCTGGCCCCGCCCCGCTCAAGTCAGTTCCTCCGTCACCAGGACAAGTGCTCCCAGGGGTGGTACGACCCCAACCTGAGAAACGTTAAACTAGGTCAACAGTGTTCTTTTTTGTTTGCTTTTTTAAATGTAAGACTCATTTATTTTTGCTTTGAGAATGCAAAGCATTTTCAAGTATTCGGAAAACCAAAACAATACCCCAAGTGGGGCCTTGACTTACGAGTTTAATTCGTTCCGTGACGGAGCTCGTAACTCAAACTACTCGTATGTCAAATCTTAAAGTGAACGAGTGAGACACGTGATGCTGGGCTGATGTTGTGGCGTTCACTGTGACGTTCGCTGCGCCCACTAGCGGTGGGGTATCCGAAGCTGGCTCGTAACCCGAATTTTAGCTCGCAACTCAAAGCAAAAAATCGGCCGAGAGACGGCTCGTATCTCGAAAAACTCGTTAGTCGGGACACTCGTAAGTCAAGGCCCCACTGTATATCATGGTTTACCTTAGGAAATCTTGCTCCTACCCGTTCCCATCTGGCCCTTATAGCCAGTTGAATTGGTTTCTTGTGTCTCTAATGTTTCTTTATGTGAAAATGACTATTGTTTATATAGTTCCAGCTCCCCCCTTTTTGAAAGGAAACCTTGGCAGAGCCCAACATACAAGGCAGACCCAAAAGGGGCTGCTCTGGTTGAGGGTGCCTCCTCCTCAGCCACCTCTCCACATGCACTCTGAGGTTCCCCCGGAAGATCCTTGGGGCCGGGATTGGAAATGCTCAATAACTGAGGACCTGCTCTCATCGAGGGTGCTCCCGTCCCACAGGTGCACTCTCAGCCCAGCCTGGAGCTGTTCTCCCTCCCCAGACCCTCTGCCATGGGCCCCTCTAGCAGAGCTGGGGTAGGGGGGTGGGGGAAGGGCCTGGGAAAGGAGGGCCTTACCGGGGTCAGCTGTGGGGAGGCGAGGAGCTGCTGGAGCTGCTGGAGCTGCTGCTCTTGCTGCTGCAGGTGTCTCTGCTGCTCCGTTAGGCTGAGGCAGGGGGACAAGATACAGACCATGGGGAGGGACAGGGAAATACCCCCTCCCAGGAGTTCCCAGACGCCCTCAGACCCAGGTGGAGAGAGGCAGGGATGTGCGACTTTAGACTAGAGAGAGACAGACTGAGCTCAGAGAGTGCAGCGGGAGGTAAGTTAGATGGAACTTCCCCAGAAGGAAAACCTAGACTGGGGTACAAGAAAGAGACAGCTTTGTCCTAGAAAGTTGCCATCCAAAGGGCGCTCACAACTAACATCTAGGGAGTCCCTGGGGCCAAGAGGTGACTAAATTCTGTATGGTTGGAGGACACTTTCCCCTTTGGGGGACCTTGGGTATTTGGGGGGAGTCCCTCCCATAGCCAGCCTCCCCATTCCCTTCCCCAGGCTAAGCTTTCCCTCACCTGTTGAGACAACCTGGCAGCTGCAGCGCGGGGGCCCCACCAGCCTGGCTCAAGCCTGCAGGGTTGGGGGCAGCAGCCCCATTCAACCCCCCCAGGAGCCCATTGAGGGGCAGGGCCCCGCTGCCCGCCAGCCCCCCCAACAGCCCCTCAGCCATGGGCATAGCCCCCAGCCCCGCTGCCCCAGGTGCTCGGCCCAGCCCATTCTGTGGCTGGGCTGGGAGCGGGGCAGGGGCCCCAGGCAGGGCCAGGGGCAGGGTAGCAGGGCTCTGCTGGAGCAGGGGCAGCGGTGGGGGCGTGCTGTGGAAGGACAGCGACGAGCTGCTGCGGCTGGGGCAGCCTGAGTGTGGGTCCTGGGGAGGGAGGGGGAAGGGAGGGGTCAGAGGGGCAGGGGGCCAGCGTGACATTTCTGGCCCCCAGCCCAGCACCCACCAACGTTCTGAGAGAGCACAGCCACCCCCACCTCACCCCCAGGCAGAGCCACCCAGGAGGAAGAAGCAAGGCCCAGGGGTGAAGGCTAAGAATCCTAAATGTCTTCACAAATCATGTTTACAGACCACTGCCTGGGCTCCAGCACCCACCATCCTTGTTTAATACTAAACATCAAGGATGGTGGTGAGAATCTAGTAAGCCAGACTCGGGGTTCAGTGTATAACCTGCACTATCTCGTTCTTCCCTCTACAGTCTTAGACTAAGTAAGTTTGTAGACAGCTAGGGTGACAGGCTCAGGTTCAAACCCTATGTCCCCAATTCAATGGCTCGGGTGGCTTCTCTGCCTCAGTTTACTCATTCGTTACATGGGGTAACACAGTACCTATTCCATGAGTACCTATCCCACAGAGAAGACGAAACAAACCGATGCTTTAAAAATCTCAGCACCGGACATGACAAAGGGCATATATGCAGTTAATGTTAGTGATTATGGTGATTATTACTGCCCAAGTCACACAGTAAGTGGCAGAGAGAACAAGAAACTAGTTTGCTTGATTTCAATAATCACCACAACATAAGGAGTCACTGCTTCCCCAACCACCGCCAATCACACAGGAATTCTTTGCGGGAGGCGCTGTAACGAACCCGTCACAAACCCTTCTCACAGAGGCCTCCCTGCCCACCGTAGATCTACAGAAGAACCCCAAGCCCCATTCTTCCTCACAGCCCTCAAATCATTTCCATTTCAGCATCTTTCCCCGGCTTGTAATTATGGGCTGTTTTCTTGGATTTAGCCTGTCTTCAGGAGCAGGACCGTGTCCGTTTTGCTCACTAATTGCTTTGCCAGTGCGTGGCATTAAGTAGAAACCTCGTAATTATGACTTATCTAATGAAGGAATGAAAGGATCAATCAACTCAATCACTTCATCGTTCAACCTCCAATAGCTGCAGGGTGGAGGTGGGACCAGGAGGCCCTTGCGCCTCCCAGCTCCGGCCCTTCCCGGTGTCCACCGGTGCCCACCTCCGAAGACGTGGACAGCGAGTTGTCCAGGCCCAGACTGCTCTTCCCGGGAGGGCTCTTGCTGGTGCTCAAGGAATCGCTGCTGCCGGCTGAGGGGTGGGGGGGATCAGGGAGGGCGGTCAGGCCTGAAATCGGAGCTAGTGCCCGCCGCCCGGCATAGGCCCCCACTCGCGGGCTGGCCCCTTACCTTGGGGAGGCAGGCCATAGGGCCCAGCGACAGGGCCGTTGGCGGCGGGCAGGACGGCAGGCAGGGCGGGGAAGGGCACAGAGAGCTGCACGTTGAGAACCTGCAGCCGCTCCTTCTTGGCCGTCAGGCTCAGGATCTGCTCCTGGAGCCGCTGGTTCTCCTTCTGCAGCGCGTGCAGCGCCTTCAGCATCTCCACGACTGCGGAGAGAGGACCGAGGTCTGAGAGGGCGGGGCGAGGTCCGGGGCGTGGCCAGAGGCCCGGGGGCGTGGCCAGAGGCCCGGGGGCGGGGCCAGAGGACCGGGGGCAGGGCCTGGCGGAGGGACTCGGAACCGGACCTAGAAAGGAAGGCGTGGGCTAGAGAGGGGCTCAGGTGAGCTCGGAGAGGCGGGACTGGGGAACCGCAGGTGTGAGGAGCGCAGGCGGGGCCTGAGGCTGGGTTCGAGGCCCGGTGGTTGGGAGGCGAGGGGCGGGCGGGAACTCGGGGCTCACAGGGAGTGGCCAGGAGCCCGGGAGGGCCGGAGGCGGGTGCAGAGGCTGCGGTGCCAGGTGCAGGGCCGAGAAGGGGCTGAAGGTGAGGCTGAGGTTGGCAAGAGTTAGGGCTGGGGCAGGGTCTGGGGCAGAACCTGAAAGGCGTTTGGGAACTTCGGGGAGAGGGGTGACCGGATCTAGGGATCCCGGGGCAGGTGTCCCAGCCCTGCGCCCCCTCCTCACTGTTGACGCCGGCCTCGCCGTCGCCCTGCTTTTCCAGCAGCTGCTCCATGTTCGTCGTCCCGGGGGCCGCTGGGTCTAACTGGCCGCCCCCGCAGGGTGCGGACGCCGTCTGGTCGAAGAGTGCGGGGAGGCTGCTGATGGGGGACCTGGGTCAGAAGGGGACACCGGGCTCAGGCTTACCTCCCGCTCCGGCCTTCCCTCCCCAGGGGTTCCCGTCATCCGCGTCTGAACCCCCCTCTTCTGGTGCCCGCTCCCCCGCCCCTCCTCCCGGGGTGCCCCTCCAGCCCCGCCCTCTCCCTCACATGGAAGACAGACTCTCCTGAGGGGAGGTCCCCCGACACCGGAAGCTGCAGTCCTCCAGGTCTGGCTCTGGGAAGGAGGAGGGAGGCGGGGGTCAGCGGGGGAAAAAGTGCCGCAGGCCGCTCGGTCCCCGCGGGGAAGGGGCATGGGATCTGGCACCTGACGGCAGACCCCCTCCCCGGGACCGCCCCACCCTAGTGCCAGCTCCGAAGGCGCTGGGAGCCCTGGCCTGGAAGCGGCCCCTGGGAGGTAAAGCCATGGACCCGTCTCTTCCCTTCTCCAGGCAGAAAGGCTCCCTCTGCCCGGCTGCTTTCACACCTCTTCCCTGGAAGCTTAATGCTGTAGAGATTTTGGGTCTAAGTCCTAGGTCGAACTTGGACCTGATATTTGCTCTGTGAACTTGGGCTTGCAACTAACCTCCGAAGTGATTGTCATGAGGTTTACAAACAAGGCAAATAAATGTGAAGTGTTAAGCTGCATGCAGGAAGCCCTTAGTAATTGTAGCTGTTAGGTTTTGTAGGACTTTTTGTTCATAAACTCACAAATTAGGTGGCAAAACCCTTGGTTGGGACACAGAATTCCTATTGGTTGGGGGAAGGGGTGTGCCACCCCACCGTGTCTTTAATTCTGGGTCCGGTCTCTTTAAGAAGGCCTACCTGAACTGGTGGCGGGGTGGTAGGCCCCGCCCCCTGGCTGGCCAGGTGGTGTGTCTGCACCAATCAGCTCTCCGGGGCTGGGTTGACTCTCAAGGGAGAGGGTGGGGCGCCTGTGACCCGCCCTTTAACTCCTACACACCCGGAGGGCAGGTTGCCCAGCTGGTGGGATCGCAGTAACTGCTGATCCCAAAGGCTCCCTATGAGGCCAGCTGATCCCAAAGGCTCCCTATGAGGCCAGCTGATCCCAAAGGCTCCCTATGAGGCCAGCTGATCCCAAAGGCTCCCTATGAGGCCAGCTGATCCCAAAGGCTCCCTATGAGGCCAGCTGGGAGCTACGCCTCGGCGCTATGAGAACTGGGGTCAGAGTCAGGGGCCCAGAATTTCCCGACTTCCACTGCCTTGAGCGTTAATCTCTCTGCCCTTCTCCCGTAAGATGGAGCAGTTATTCTTTCCTGTCCTGTCCCAACCCCTCGGCAGGTTTTAACCTGAAAGCGTACCCTGGTTTGTTGTGTGTGAAAATATTTTTAGCAAAGTGGGCAATGGCCAGAGGGAGGGTGCAGCCAGGAAGCCCTCCCATCTTTTTTGGGGGGAGAGACATGCAGGTGATGGGTGCCCCTCAGGCCTTTGGGAAGAAGGGGGATGGGGTCGGAGACTCACATACCTGTGTGGCTGCTCTCGGCTTGGGTAAGGAGGGGGTTAACGACACCCATGGGGGTTCCAAAGATGTGGGTAGAAGGGAGGCTGAAGGTAGAGCCAGCCAGAGAAAACACCTGAGGGAAAGGAGGTAGAGTCCAGCCTGGTGGTTATTCTCAGATCTAGGGCAGGACTGTGCTTACGGGGTGGAGGGGACGGGGTGTGCTGGGGAGGAGAGAGGGCCAGAGACAGGGAGACGTTCTGGGGATCAAGCCCAATATCTCAAGTTCCCACGGAGGGCTGGGGTCTTTAGCAACCTGTCCCCCCCCTCCCCCCCCCCGCCCTCCCTTCCCCTGCCCTGCACCCACCCCCTTGCCCAGGGATGGAGGAGCCCAGGGGTAGTCCTCACCTGAGTGGTGGAGATAGAAGCAGAAGAAGAGGGGAGGGTGCTGGTGAATGGGGAGCGGCTGAGGCGGGGCAAGGCAGAGGTCCCAGGGGGCCCCAGCAGGCTGGAAGAGAGGGGGGTGCTGCAGACAGCCCGCAGCATTCCACCACCGTGGGAGATGGGGTCCTTATTACTGGTGTAGATGCCTGTGGGCACAAGGACACAGAGGGAAGCAGAGAGTCACCAAGCCCCTCCCCAAGGAGAACATTCCCTGGACCTGGCACCAGTCTAACCTCCTCCGTGCACAGATGTCCCTTGTCGCCTGGGTGGTATCTGCTCGCCATGACTACTTATTGGACTGCCCTGCCCGGGCCTGGGGAATTCCCAGCTATTCTAATATCCCAACCAAACTTTTTATGTCCTACTGACAAGCCAACACAATCTCTCCTGCCACAACCATGCAGAAGGTGGGTATGGAGGAGTGTCTCAGAGGTGACTATCACTTCCATCCTGTATCTCCGTCCTTCGGAGCAGTTTTATCACATTCCCTCCTAACTACGTGCTTATCCCTCTGTTCCATCGCTAGACGGGCTGGGCCCCCAATGCCCACCATCCCACAGGGTCACTGACCTGCCCCTAGCAGGGGGGACTCCAGGCTCAGGCTGGGCAGGCTTCCGGAAGGCCCAAAGGTGCGGGAGGCCAGGCCACCCAGGCCGGAGCTGACCAGGGAACCTCCTGAGAAGGGTGAGGCAGCAGTGGCGGTAAAGCCAGCCAGTTGGGCGCCAGGCAGGGAGGGAGCAGCTGGGGCCCCGACACCCTCCTCATTCCGGCTGCCCTTGGGACGGCCTGGCCCATGTCGGCTCCTCTTGCTGGCTTTGTGCTTCTTCTCCTTCACGCCTGTCTCAGGGGTCTCTTCAGCGGGCGCAGGGGCAGCACTCAGTGTGGGCATCCGCTTGTGGGTGCCTGCTGAGGTCCCAGACCCTGAGAGGTGAGGAGACTTATAGTCTCCAGGGGATGGGGCCCGGGCCCGGCCTGAGCTGGGGGTGGTGGTGGAGAAGCGCATGATGGGCCCAAAGCTAGAGAAGACCACCTTCTGCTCAAAGAGGTCAGTCTTGGGGGGCTCAGGAGCTGAGGGAGAGGGGGGAGCTGAAGGGGTGGAGGCTGCGGGCTTGGAGTACTTGTCCTCCTCTGGCTGCTCCAGCTTGGGGAAGGCGGAGAAGTCAGGGGAGCTCTGCAGGGACGAAACTGCACAGAAGGAAAACAGAATTACAGCTGCATCCCAGATCCCTCACTCCCTCCCACTCCCAAGATGCACTAGTGGGCGAGCTCTGGTCAGGGGATGGGGAAGCCTGGTGTCCTGTCCCAGCTCTGCCACTATCTCTGTGTCCAGGATGAGTGCCCTCCCTCCCCCACTTACCATAAAGTGGGAGGAGAGGAGAGTTCCAGCTCAAAAGGGAAGGGTTTGGAGAAGTATAATTTGGTGGGGATCCCCCATCTTTAACCTGAACCAATTTAAGAAGCAAAAGAGAGCCCTAGCCGGTTTGGGTCAGTGGATAGAGTGTTGGAGTATGGACTAAAGGGTCCGGGTTTGATTCCAGGCATGTGCCTCAGCTGCAGGCTTGATCCCCAGCGCCGGTGGTGGGGGGTCCGTGCGGGAGGCAACCAATCCATGTGTCTCTCTCACATTGATGTTTCTCTCTCTCTGTCTCTCCCCCTCCCTTCCACTCTCTCTAAAAATCAATGGGAAAAATGTCCTCGGGTGAGGATTAAAAAAAAAAACACAAAAAAATGAGATGCAAACTAATATGCAAAGGCCCTTGCTAGAGAAGCTCAGGGCCAAAGGCTGTCCCATTCCCAGCCTCCTCCAGGAGGCTCACCTGCCCACACTCACCTGCAGGCTGGAAGGGCCCCCCAGAGGAGGAAGAAGAGGAGGAGGAAGAGGAGGAGGAGGCGGAGGTGAAACTGCTCACACCTTTCCCACTGCTCAGCTTCTTCCCCTTGTGACTCAGGCTATGGCTGGAAGACTTTTTCCCCTTTGAGTCCCTGTTGCTCTCAGAGGTCTCCTGAGTGCTGGCCTCATGGTGGGAGGAGGAGGCCTAGAGAGGGGAGGAGAGAGGAAGGCTTGAGACCAACCGCCTGGGCCTGGGTTCACCCTGACTTGGGAGTGGAGCAGGAGCACGCAGGATTCCGGGTAGAGAGATGGTGCCGGGAGTCCCTAGACCAGGAAGATGGGGAAGCAGCAGTGGAACTTCTGGGTGTGAGGAGAGCTGAGCGTTCTGAACCCAAGAAGCTGTCTGTCCTTCACCTCAGGTAGGAGATGAAAATGGTCTCAAAGTCTGTACTAATATACTCATTTGTTCGTTCGTTCGTTCATTCATTCATTCATTCATTCATTCATTCATTCAAGAAATACTTGCTGGACTTGTGTTGGGAAGCGGTGAGGGCCCGGCCACATCTGTGGGCCCTCCAGTCACCACCATTCCCTCCTTGGTCTCCCCAAGCTGCCGCCACCTGGCTGACACCCTACTCCCTGGCCACTCTGTGCCTTTCCTAGACAACCTGAGCTTACAGTGCGGAGCCCTCTGCCAGGAGAGCCTGTTACTCCTCCTGGAAAACTTCTCCTCCCTCAAAATCCAGCTTGGAAGTCCACTCTTCCATGAAGCCATCCTGGACTCCTGGGGTGGAATAAGCCACGCCGTCCTCCTATTTCCAGGACACTGTGTACCACGGCAGCCACGCCAACAGTTGCCACCCTATACTGAAATATACAGTCCCCATTTCTGTCCCCCCCAGCCCCCCGTAACCTCTCTGAGGTTGGCAGGGCAGGGGTTGGAGGAGGATGGGCTCTGCATTTACTGCCGTGTTTATGTTGCATGGTCTCGCCACCTCTCTGAGCTTCAGTGTCCTTATGGGGCTAATTACGCCTGTTTGGAGAGTTATGAGGAACATAATGCCAGATACTAGTACATACCGCGGGTCAATAATGATGATTCTGATGGCTGTGGCTGCTAGGAATATACTGCAGAGACTGACTGTGGTGGGTAAGAGTACAGGCCTTCAAGTCAGACTGCATGCGTTCAAATCTCGACTCCATCACTACCTAGCTGTGCACTTTGAGGCAAATTGCTTAACCTCTCTGTACCTCAGTTTCTCCATTTATGAAATGGGGTTAATAAAATTGGACTATTTTGAGGATTAAACAAGCGAATCCCTGTACACCCTGCAGATCCCCGTTCTAGGAGAGAGGCTGGCATGTGGGGGCTGAGTTAGAGCATCATGTTACCGCCATCCCCAGGGATGGCGCTTCTCCTCCCGGTGGAGACCAGATATTCGTGAACCTCGGCTAAACCCACAAATGCCAGAGGGAGGATGGATGGGGGAATGAGAGCCACCCTGTGCTGCCCTCCCTGGGGGGAGGCCTTGTCTCTTCTTCTTTGTTCTTTTCAACAGCTGGAGTTCTGAAGGGAGCCAGATGTGGTTCTGAGAGCAAGGGAGGCGAGGGGGTGGGGGGAGGGGCAGCGGCAATGCTGGGGCTGGTGGAAGGAATGAGCAGAGTGCTCCAGCATGTCCAAGGGACTACCCAGCCACTGGGGGCTACTCCCAGATCTCTGCCCTCTCTTTCTACCTGTCTGCAGGCCCCAGGGAAAAGGGCACAGGGCAGAGACCGACAAGCTGTTCCAGGTGAGTCCTGGAAAGCAGGGCAGGGAGAGGGTTACTGGGGTAGTTGCCACAGCAACATCCCCCTAGAAACCTGATACCTGAGCCTCCTGCTAATAAGATGCCCAGAGCTCTGCCAACCTCCCTCGGCAGTGGGAGTGGATGGAGCAATACTGGCCACAGGAGGAAGCAGTTTCTCCAGGCCCCTTTCACCTTCCCTGGGGAGGGCAGGCTGGCAGGAGGGGCAGAGAGGGCTGCTCTGGCTTGGATTAGGGACGCCCTGGCCTCGGGGAAGGGCCTGCTATTTGCTTATCCTGATGTTGCCCGTTTCTGGAGACAGGCCTGACATACCATGCCCCGCCTTGGAAGGTGAGATGAGGGGGGTGGGGTTTCGGGGTGTTGTCAGGGACCTGCCAGGGGCTACACTTTCAGTCCCTCCAGCATGCACAGGTCACAGGCTGTGGCCTTCTCCCTGACAGGGAGAAGAGGTGCAGGGGGAGGGGGCTGAGAGACATGGGGTCCTCTCTACCTATCTCTGGAGAACAGGCTCCAGAGCTTGGAGAATTGGAAAACCGAGTGTGTATCCACAGACAAGAGCCCAGTGCTGAGGCTCAGTGTCTGGACAGAGGCAGATGTGAACATCTGGCAGCCAGCAGGTAGGGGTGGTGCTCCCCACCCACCCCTACCCTCCTGATGGTAAATGATTGGTGGGGCTGAGGAGTAGAGGGGGTTGAGGTGGGGAGCAGAGGCACATTAACCTGAAGCTGTGGGGGTGCCCAGGTCCCTGGCTCACCCTGACCCCTCACACCCTGCCTCCCTCCCGCTGCTGTGGCCATCCCTCTGGGCTGTGGGCAGCAGTACCTTGTCAGCAGCGGGGACCACGGGTGGGGTGAGGATGCTGGAGGGTGAGTCAGGCCTCTTCTTGTGCTTCTGTTTAAGGCGTTCCTTGTCCTTTCGACTCTGGGGAAGGACAGGTGAGCAGATATTGGTGCTGGGGGGCATTTGGGGTGAAGATGACATGTGCATGTGGACAGTGGACCCCTCCCCGGGATGGGCTTTGTGGGTGTCACCTCCCCCTCTGGTGGGACTGGGGGACTTTGGCTGGACAGGAGTGGCTCAGGCAGGTTCCTCTGAGAGCCAACAGCCCCTCGTCCATTCTGCCTGCTAAAAATAGCCTGTCCCATGATCACGCGTGACACAGAGCACCACACACGTGAGCACGCACCTGCAAGGGTGTCCACCAGGGACACGGAGCTGTGCAGAGGGATGGGAGCCAGGCACACTGTGACAGGAGGCACAAGGGGACGCAGGCATGTACCCTTACAAACTGGGCTGACACCAGGCTAGACTGTGGAGATGTGTGCAGGGCCATGTACTGGGGGCTGTCGGGACACTGTCGTGTCATGGGGAGGCCACTGGAAGAACCACACAAATACGAGGGCCCCAGGGAAGCCGGCCCTCACCTCGCCCTCTGTGATCCACACGGGTCACTTCCGCAGCCCCCTCCCTGCCCTCAGTGGCCTCAGAGGAGGGAAGGGGGCAGGCTCCTTGGCCGTGGGGCACCTTGTAGGGGCTTCGTGAAAGAGGTCTGAGTTTGTGAATGTGGCAGGACAGGTAGAGGGAGAAGACTTTTACCTTCTTCTGTGCCCTTTCGTGGTGGGAAGGGTGCTTCTCCTGCTGGGTGGACGGGGAGGCTGACCGGCTTCTCCGGCCAGCGATGAAGCCACTGCCACCGCCCCCTGTGCCGCTGCCTCCTGTTGCCGCTGCGCCTCCGCCTCCCCCGCTGGTGTGCCGGGAAGTCTTCTGGGGAGAGAATGGAGAGGAGTTGCCAAACTCTCCTCTCCTTAGCTTAGAAAACGGTTCCTGAAGGTCAAGTGACTCTGGGGGCCCCTTCCCCTGGCCTGCCTGTCCCTAAGAGGACCTTGTGTTCTCGATGATGCTCTGCTCAACGAAGGGCACTCCGTAGAGCAGTGGTTCTCAACCTTCCTGATGCCGCGACCCTTTAATACAGCTCGTCATGTTGTGGTGACCCCCAATTTCATTGTTACAAGTTGAACATAATTAAAGCATAGTGATTAATCACAAAAACAATATGTAATTATATATGTGTTTTCCTATAGTCTTAGGTGACCCCTGTGAAAGGGTTGTTTGACCCCCAAAGGGGTCGCGACCCACAGGTTGAGAACCGCTGCCTTAGAGCTTCCCCAGGGTGTCCAGTGCACAGATCTAACAACGGAGGCCCAGAAGAGGCCAGGCTACAGCAAGGCATGCTGGAGGTAGGACTGGGGCCCAGGTGCTTGCTCTCCACCCACCTCTTTCCACTGTCCTCTTGGCCCATCTCAGCTTCCTTTCCTGGAGTAGAGGATGTATGGGGGACCCTTGTGGGAACCCTGCTCCTCTACACTCCACACCCCATCCTTCCCTCCAGACACTTCACCCCGGCCATCAGCCCTTCTCCCTTCTTCCTAGCCCTTCCCCCTCCACCAAACACAGTGGTTCCTTCTGTCCCAGAACTGCTACCCTGAAGAAGGGGGAAGTCAGCATCCACAGCAAAAGCCCAAATAACCCTCATGCTGCCTCTCCCCCAGCCAGGGCCTGCTCCTTCCTTCCTTCACTGCTAACAGATGCCCCAGGCTCAGTGTGATGGCTTCGCCTGTCCCTGACTTGCAGCTGCTCCCTCTAAGGTCACCCACTGCCTCCCAATTGCCAAACCCAAGGACTAATTCAGACCTCGTCTGACCCAATCGCTCCCCCGGGCACCGATCTTACTACCATGCCAAGCTCTTAAGACTCTCCCATTCATGGTTCCCTTCATACCTTGACCCTCCCTACCTTGTCCTAAGTCATCATCAAACTCTGAAACCAAGGTGACCATGTAACTTATGATCCAAATCAGGACACGGTTGAAATTTAAAGTGGGAACTATTAATGATTACACCAGGGCAATAGGCACAAACTGGGACTGTCTGGGGTAGACCAGGGCAGATGCTAACCCTACACAAGCCTGTTCATAACATCCCCAGGTGCTCAAGCCCATCCACCCAGCACTGAGAGCCTGGATCTTAACTGCCACCCTCCACTCCTCCTCAGCTGCCCCCACACAGAGGCAAGTCTACCTAGAAATGTTCTGGAGTCCAGCCTCATCCCTCCATCCCCCCCTTGTGCAGCTGTCTCCTAGCCACCAGCCTCAGCCCTTTGGATCCAGCTTCCTGGTGCCTGCCAGAGTAATCTTCCCTAACAAACAAATCTGATCATGTTACCCTCCCGCTTACAAGCAGCCTTACAAGCCTGTGGCCTGGGGGTGAGGTCCAAGCTGCAATTCTAGTCTGGCCACAGCCTACCTCTCCAGGACACCCACAGCTTCTGGAACACACAGGTCTTTCCAACAAACATGAGATAGTACCCCTTCTCTAGCCTCTCCGTGGCTCCCTGAAGCCCAGCTCTGGCCCTGCCTGAGATTTTTTTTTTTTGCCTCATCTCCTGCTCTGTCCCCACCAAACTCCCCGTTCTGCTGCTCACAAACTTCTTTCTCCTCTCAGGACGTGGCCCATGCCAGTTTCAAATCAGACTGTCTGTTTGCCCCCATACATGCTGTAAGGTAAGTCACATAACCTCAGTGGGCCTTAGTTTACTCATCTGTAAAATGGGAAAATACAGTACATCTAGTTCTTAGGGTCGTTGTAAGGATCATACAAAATAATACATGTAGCCCTAACCGGTTTGGCTCAGCGGATAGAGCGTCGGCCTGCGGACTCAAGGGTCCCAGGTTCAATTCCGGTCAAGGGTATGTACCTGGGTTTCGGGCACATCCCCGGTGGGGAGTGTGCAGGAGGCAGCTGATCGATGTTTCTCTCTCATCGATGTTTCTAACTCTCTATCCCTCTCCCTTCCTCTCTGTAAAAATCAATAAAATATATTTTAAAGAATTAATAATAATAATACATGTAAAGAACTTAGTACAGAGGCCGGGGCGCAGTAAGCCCCCACCCCCACATGTTGGCTCTTATTGTTCCCGCCTCCGTTAGCTTCTGTGCTACCTCTTCTTTGAAGCCTCCCAGACTAACAGGAGAGCTCTGTCTTCCAGACAGACTGCTAGGTTTTAACTCTGATTCACTCCCCTCAGGCTCTACTTTAATTTACTCTTCCTTCAATGAAGAGTTCCTCAAGGGCAGGGATGGGTTCCTTCCATCTCTGTCTTCTCAGCAGCAGGCACCAGCTTGGCCCAGAGCCCACACCCTCTAAACCGTGGCTGATTGACCCATTCATGCCCTGGCAGACGAGACTCACCATCTTGCTGAAGTGGTATTTGCAGTAGCCGCAGTACTTGACATTGTCAACCTCCAGCACCTCTTCCTCACACAGCAGGCCTGCCATTTGGGCGCTAACCGAGAGAGGTCAGCCTGAGAAGGGTGTGGCCACAAACCAGACCAGCCTCTGACCGTCTACCCTCCTGGACCCCCACTGGGGCAAAGCCAAGTCCATCCAAGGGAAGCACTGCCATGATCACCAAAGAGACAGCAGCTAGGACCAGCCCATTGGGTGGCCATCCATGGCAAACCTCGGAGGGGGTTGCTACAGCTGGCTGGGGATCCCAGAGAACCCCGGAGTGGGAGGCGAGGGGCAGGGAGGGGTCTCACCAGGTGACATGGAAAGCTTGTCGACATCCATGGCGGTTACAGGTCATGCAGGCTCCCGAGGCCGCCTTGCTCTCGCGGCCCTGCTCCTCGCAGATGTAACATGTCTGCAGGACACAGCGCACTCGTCCCCTCTCCCTCCCACCTACGGGACCCCTCAATTCCATCCTTTCCCCGGTACCCTAGGTTAGTGCTATCCGGCAGAACTTTCTGTGATGATGGAAATGTTCTATGCTGCACTGTCCGATACAGTAGCCATGAACCACATGGGCACTTGAAAAGTGGCCGAGGACCTGAACTTCAAATAGGACTTAATTTAATGTGCATAGCCATGTGGCTGAGCACAGTCCTTGGGGCCTGCGTCTGCCTTGCTCACTGGTGAGCTTATTCTCGCCTCTGACTTGAACCTGGGATACCCCCCACCCTCCCCCAGGCTGCCTCCTGGTCTTAGCCTCAATGTCTCTTTCCTTTACCACTTTATTAAAGAAAGCCCCCAATGAGGTATTCTTTATTTCAGTACCTTGTTTTCTTCACAGCACTTATCACTAACTGCATTTACGTTATTTGCCTGTTTATTGATGTTTACAGTCTTCCCACATAAGTGTGGGTTTCGTGGGGGAGGGAGCGCCTCTGTTTTGATCGGTACTGAACACTGCGTGCCTGGTGGTACCTTGCCCCGGATCTGACACCCAGTCAGCGCTCAGTGACTCCTTGCTAAGGTCTACCCCCTGGCAGGGCTTGAATTCCAGAGTATGACTGAAAGGTGCCTACTCACTTCCTGAGTTCCCTGAAAGTGTCTGTTGGACAGAATCAAGTTACAGGGGATGAAGAGAGAGGTGGAGGGACCCGCTAGGGAGGGGATGAGCAGGAGGGCAGGGCAGGGGCCGCTGACCTTGTTGAAGCGATCATGAGGCACATACTGCAGCACGATGGGCTCCATGGTGAGCACGTTGGCAAACTGCACCTCAGGGATGTAGAGGGCACACACCACGTGGGCCCAACCTGGGGCAGTGGGGAGCAGGCCTCAGGCAAGCCCGAGACCGGACCCCTCACAGCCCCACACTGCAGGCAGTCCCCTCCTCCATGGCTTTCCCATCAGATTCCAGTGCCAGCCAGGAAAGGGAAATCCAGCACCCCCCATACACAGACACACATGTCTGTCCCCCTGCCTTCCCAGACCCTGCTCAGGGGGCCTTGCTGACCTCAGCAGATGAGCCCTGGAGCTCAGGGCCCCCCCCTCACCTCCATTGTCAGTCCTCTTCAATGCCCCGTCTTTGTGTGGGCACAGCTCACACCTCTGCCAATGCAAGGAGGCACAGGGATTGAGGAGAGGGCCTTTTCAAAAGGGGTGGGGACCTGCTGACCTGCCTCCAAGCGCAGAGGGCCCCGGGAGGAAACGATCAGCTGTCTAGGGGGAAATGAGTTGGGGTCTAGAGCAAACAGGATTGGCCACGAGCTGGTAACTGTTGACGGTGGGTGTTGGGAGCATAGGGTTCCTTAGACTATTCCCGCTGCTTTGGTACAGGTTGGAAACTTTCCATAATAAAAAGTTCAGACAAGCCAGCAAACAAAAATAAAAGGCCCCCTGCCTGAGGCGGGGCAGAGTGAGTAATGAGCTGAGGGCGAGATGGGGTAGGCGATAGGTGTGCAGGAAACAGGAAGTCCGGTGTGACAGTCCCACCCCAGTCTCAGCGCAATCAGGGGAGATGCTCAGGTGTATGGGTGGGAGGGGGGAGGGGAGTCTCCAACTCACCACCCTGGCTGCTCGCTCCTGAGATTCGCATTTCCGGCAGAACCAGGGTCCTGTGGGCACCTGGACGATGCCATAGCAAGCTGGGGGAGGGGGAGGAGAGTCACAGAGCAAATTTGTCATCAGTGGCTTTTCCCAGAGTAAGGGGGCGGGGGAGGGGGTGACTCTAAAGGACTACAGCCAGTTCCAGTAGGGGGGGCTGCTCCTCTGTCTGGGGGTCACTAACTGGCCAGCAGGACCACAAAGAATGCCCAACAGGGCACAGGACAGCCTTCAGCCACAGAACCGAGCACTCCAAGTAGGGGCAGGAAGTCTGAGCCCTTGACCTTAAACTCTAGTCTAGAAGACCCTCCTTTCTGGACCTGTTTCCCAGTTTCTGCTGGAGATCACCCGGAATAGAGAAAACTAGAGGGACAACATTACCATAGGCGAACACGTTTGTGTTGTTAAGGGGGGGGGGGTGTCTTAAAGGGCCAGTAAAGGAAGAGGCGAAAAGTTGGGGGTCCAGGGACCTCATCTTCTGCCTCTCACTATAATAGGGCAGGTCAAAAGTCAAGGCTGGGGGTAGGTGCAGTACAGGTAACCTATAGGAGAGCGGCGGCAAGAGCCGACAGCGCCTGCCTTAAGGGCTGCCCCGGGAAGGAGGGGGGCCGCCGCTGTGCCAGGCGGGCGGGAGATGCCAGCCTGCGCCCTCGGCAAGATTCCTCAAGGAGTTAACTCCCGAACCATGTGCTGCCGGGGGAAACTCCAAACCTCCCTCCTGTCGATCCCGGCCCCTTGCACAACCTCTCTCCCTTCCGAAGCGCTTCCCGGGAGGATTTTAGGAGTCCCCTCTCCCCTGGGACCCTTCTCCTCCCTTCCCCATACGCTCCTCCCAGCATCCGGAAGCGGGAGGGGGGGTGACTCCCCCTTGACCTCTCCCTCCGGGAGCCGGGACCAAAATAACCCGGCAGGAGGGGACACCTCGTAGGTAAACATTCCCGCAACAGCCCGGACAGCGGCGGTTCCGGGCGCGGGGAGTGTGCTCACTGCCCCCGACTGTCTCCAAACTCCCTCAACTTGGGGTGGGGGGCGCGGGACTGGAACAATAGGCGAGAAAACAATGCCTGACCCGGTCCTCCAGGACAGGGCGGGGGGAGCCCCCCGACGCCTCCCTTCCCTTCAGGTGGGGTGGGGGAGGGGCGCCCGAGCCCCGGGAGGTCTCCGGAGGGCGCGGCCGAGGGCGCCCTGCGCGCGCCGCCCCCGGGGTCCCGCCGCCCCCTGCGGGCCACCCCTGTACCTTGGTGGACAGCCACGCTGCACGCGTGCCCATCACAGTAGACCAGCGGGTTCTCGGCCCAGCCCCTCTCGTCCGAACATACGCAGCAGCCTCCTACCATCTCCTTCATACTCCCATGAGCTCCCTCCGGGGCTGGGGCGGGGGGCCGGCCGGCGGGGGTCGGGGGTCAGGGGGGGAGGGAGGGAGCGGGGGGCCGCGCGCCTCCTCGCTCCCTCCTCCTCCTCCGCCGCCGCCGCCGCCGCCGCTTCTTTTCTTTGCCTCCTCCTTCCTCCTCCTCGGCGTCCTCCTCCTCCTCCTCCTCCTCCTGGCTCGCTCGGTCTGGCCGCCCCCCCCGCCGTGCTCTCGCCCTCATGCCCCGACGGGCCCCCCCGCCCCCCAACAATGAGAGTCGCGCGCCGGGTTCGCCCCCTCCGCGCCGCGCGCCCAGCTACGAGGGCCGCCCAGCCGCCGAGCAGCCCGGGCCCGGCGGGGGAGGCGCCGAGTGGCACATCGCGGGCGCCCGCCCCGCGCCGCCCGCTCACGCGCCGCCCTCCCGGCCCCCCTGCCCGGCCGCGGCAGCCATGGCCGCGCGCCTCCGCCTGCTCGCTCCCGGCCCGCCCGCCGCCCGCCGCCGGGTAAAGTCTTAGGTTCAGGGAACAAAGCCTGGCTTGGTAGGGAGCTTTTCGCTCGCTGGCTCCTCGCTCCTCTTCCCTCTTTCTTTTCCTTCCTGTAGTTCCCACTTGGCGCTCCCGGGCCCTCCCTCTGCCTGTCTTTCGGTCTCGGCTCCGGGTCCGAGTCTCCGGACTCCCCCCGCCCAGCTCTTCGTTTCTGCGGCCGTTCCTCAACCCCAAGGACATTGGGGTGGAGAGCAGGGGAAGGGGCGCTGGGAGGAGCAGGGGCGCCGGGAGTCGTTCGCCCCTCCGGGTCTGGGGCTCTTCGGATGGCCGCTCGTGCGCCCTTTCCTCGGAGGCCATTCTGTAGGATAAACGCTCCAACACGCAGACATTTGTTCATTTAACAAGTATTTATTGAGTGCTTACTATGTGCAGCCGCTGGGTAGCGCCGCGAATAAAACAGGTATTCCTGCCCTCGGGGAGCTTCCGGTCCAGCTCAGACACACACGCACCGGGACTCGTCACCCTTGCAGATACCCCGAGGCACCCAGACACACACCCTCACTCCCAGCCTCCTCCAGCCACACCGCCCGCCCCTCCCAGGGAGAGACAAACCCCAGCTCCAGTCCCACAGGAGCGCTTAGAGACCCACGCAAGTTAGAGACTCACGCCTACGGAAGCGGTCACAGACCAGCTACCCTTGACCTCTAGGCACGCACACAAACACACAACAAACACACACAGCCCCCCCCCCGCCCCCCAGGAATTAAAGCCCCTGAAATTGGATCTGGAAAGAAGAGAGGGGGTGTCAGCTTGAAGGCTTCATCCCCAAGACCCGTGTGGGCAAAGGGGACGAAATCTGACCGCCCCCCCCCAACTTCCTAAAGGGGTGTTGACGCCCGCAGAGACCAAAGGTCACACGCCCTCTCTGGGCGGTGGGGTGGCGGTGGAGAGGAGGCAGCTCTGGGGGGCATCAGCGACACTTCAAAGACCTCTCGGCCGGGAATGCTTCCTGCGGGGGATGGGCGGCCGGGCAGTGGAGGGGAGACCCGCAGGGGATTGAGGCTGGAGGAGACTGCCCCCCCTCCGCGCACTGCGGGGCCCCCCCCCCCCCCCCGGCCGACTCTTCCGCCGGGACCGCCTCCTTTTCACCAGCACCTGTTCAACCGGAACATCAAGGGGCCGGGGCCCGCCGTCTCCCCGCCCTTCGCGTCTATTTAGTACCTTTCATCCGGGAAGGGAGGGGGTGAATCCCCGCCCTGGAGGGGGATGGAGGGCGGGGGAGAACTTGTCCTTGACCTGGTCTGTGGCGTCAGGGATTTACTCCCTTAATCCCGGCAAAGCTAGAGTTTGAGGAGGTTGGGGAGGCCGAGTTCTGGGCTGCGGCCACCACCTTCCCTTTCTCCTGCAGGGACGCGGAGTTCCGGAGGGCTGCCGGGACGAAGAGGTTGTCTGGACGGGCGGGGCGGGGGGAGGCCGGGCTCTGCGGCTTCCGAGCCCGGGGAGGGGGCCTCCAGCCCGGGGACTGTCGAGAGGGAGGGAGGGGGGTCTGCAGTTTGGGGTCGCTGCGAGGACGGCCACGCGCGGGCATCTTGGTCTGCCCTGTGAACTTCGCTCAGACGAAAAGTTCAACCAGACCCAGACGGGAAGTCTCAGGAAATTACCTTTACTGACAAGAATAACACGCCGAGAACATTAAGCGCAAACATGTCAGCCCTAGCCATTCGCCAGGTTCGGAATATTTGAATATTTGCTTTCGGGACCGACCGCGGCCGGTGGAGGTGGCCGCAGCGTCGGGGTTTCGCGGGATGAGGGTCGCTCGAAGGCCCGTCGGTCCCTGCGACCAGGAGTGGGCGACCTGGAGACGGGGACCGACGAGCCTTTGTCTCGGGTCCGCACCCGGTGCGTAGGCGCCGCCGGGAACTTGTGGGATGAACGCGCGACGACACTTGCGCGTTTAGTAAGTGTATTGGGAACATTGTTTCGTTTACTCCTTCCCACGACCCTTGTGGGTGGGAATTAATACCCCCATTTCATGGGTGGAGTAACAGGTCCCAGCGGATGAAATGACCTGCCCGGAGTCACAGCCTGAAAGAGGCAGTGCGGGGGTTTGAACCCAGCCCGTCCTCCGCCAGGGCTGCGGCTCCGCCACCACTTGTTCGCCGAAAGCCTGTGTCGAAATCGGACGTCCGCCCGTCCATCGCAGAGGTTCCCTTCGGAGGTCCGGGGGGCCCGGGGGCCCTCGGGCTGAGCTGGATTCGCGGCGAGTACTCCCAAGGCTGAGCTGTCAAACTCATTCCTCAGTTTCCAGTATTTTTCTGCGCACTTGCTATGCGCCTATCCACATTTTTAAAAATTAATTAACTAATTAATTAATTTTAGAGAAGGAAGAGCAGGACACAGCCAACAAATGGTTCAGATTCCTCGTGCTCTCTGTGGTGTAACTGAGCGCTGATGGGAGGTGTCACGCTGGTCCTGGGTGTGCAGTTTTTGGCCAGTGAGTGACTTCACTTTTCAGAGGCTCAGCTTGTCCCTCTTAAAGGCGGGCGTTAGCTGCTTCTGGCAAGAGCAGCGGGGAGACTGAACGAAAATCCTTCTGTAAAGCGCTAAAGCGCACAGTAGGCGCTCAGTCCTGCTCGCCCCCCGTCCTCACCTCTGAGCTTGCCAGGGCAGCGCGTTCCCGCTCCCTCTTCCCGCCTCCCGCATCCCCGCCCGACCCGCGGCCCAGGGACTGGGGCCGAGAGGACCAAACAGAAAATTATTTCCGCCCGCTCGGCCCGCCCCGCCCCGCCCCGCCCCGCCCGTCCCCGGAGCCAGAAGGGGATTGTGGGGCCGCCGCGGCCGCCGCCGGAGCTGAGCGGGGCGGAAGCGCGCGTCACGCTGCTTCTCGGGCCCGACCGCGCCGGCCCCCGCAGCTCCCCGGCCCGGGACTGCGGGCTGTGGTCCCGGAGGTCCTTGGGCTCCAGCCGGCTGCCGCGGCGCGCGTTTCCACGAAGCCTGGCCCGCCGGTTCCCAGAAGCAAGCGGAGGAGGCTGGAGGGTGTGGAGGTTTCGCTTCTGCTAGCGGCCGGGGGCTTGCTGCGCAGGTCCCGGCGGCCGGCGACACACCCTCTCCTTAGAAAGCCCCGAGCTCCGGGAAGGACTGCGCTGGCGCCCGCGGACTGGCGTTTCGTTTGCGTCTCTTTTGCATACCGATTTCTTCCCCGAAAGCACAGCTTCTGACCTTGGGGGTGTCCAGAGAGGTGAAGCTACTTTCCCGAAGTAGCCCAGCCAGGAAGAGGCTCCAGGTGGTTTACCTGGCCGTGCAGGAGAGCCTGGCGTGGTCTAATAGAAAGAAAGAGGTGGCGCTAGAGCCAGAGAGACCTGGGTTCGAGACCCATCCTCGATACTTACTGCCTTTGACCATGGGTTACTCATGTCTTCTTTTTAAAAATATTTTTTTATTGATTTCAGAAAGGAAGGGGGAGAGAAAGAGAAACATCAATGATGAGAGAGAATCATTGATTGGCTGCCTCCTGCCCACCCTCTACTGGGGATCGAGCCTGCAACCCGGGCTTGTGCCCTTCAGTCCACAGGCAGACGCTCTATCCACTGAGCCAAACGGGCTAGAGCACTGATGTCTCATCTCTGACCCTCGGTTTCCCCATCTCAGAATGCGGAAGGTGATAGCAAGTGAGCAATGACACTGTTAAGTGCCGGGCAGGGTGAGGGTGAGGGTGCTTTCCCCGTCAAAGGTTATGACTCCGAGGAGGTCTCTCCTAGGCCTAGTTGGGTGTGAGGGTGGGTGTACTGGTTCTTTCCTGTGCGAGCGGGATGGATACTCAAAGAGGAACTGGTGGGAGTGAGGGGATTCCCCAGGCATCAGGGGGCCAGTCCTCAAGATTATTGTAAATAGTGACTCTGCAGGGGTGGGTTTTTTTGTGTGTGTGTGTGTTTTTCTCAAGAAGAGCACAGTGCCCTGACTGGTTTGGCTCAGTGGATAGAGCGTCGGCCTGTGGACTGAGGAGTCCTAGGCTCGATTCCAGTCAAGGGCATGTACCTTGGTTGCAGGCACATCCCCCGTGGGGGGTGTGCAGGAGGCAGCTGATCAGTGTTTCTCTTTCATCTATGTTTCTAGCTCTCTATCCCTCTCCCTTCCTCTCTGTAAAAAATCAATAAAATACATTTTTTAAAAAAGAAGAGTACAATGCCTCTGCCGTTAGCTAGCCGTGTGACACACAGTCTTTGCTGCCTTGGTTTGTCAATCCGTAAAATGGGGATAACTGGATCCCATCCTCCAATCTACGGGGCTTTGGCAGCTCTAGCCAGCCAAGGTCCCCGCAAGTGCTTTAAGAGTTGTGAGTCAGCCCTGTAGGGAGTTAAGATGGATAGAAAGGGAAGAGGTTCCTGGTGTGAGGTAGCCATCTACCCAAACTTTTCCCACAGTTATCTGGAATCTGATTCTAGCCCTGCACCCAGCCAGCCGTGTGACCTTAGGCAAAGCAGTTGCCCTCTCTGGCATTTGGCCAGGGGACTGGATCGTGAAATTCCCTTGGGGCTCACATTCTGTGGTGGATGACTCTGCTGGTGGGGAAGTTTCCCAGCTGGTGGATGACAGAAGAACAGCAAATTTGCCTGCTGCGTTCCTCTTTCCCACCAGTTCCTCTTGAAGTCTAATCTTTTAAATGGAAAAAGTTGTATTATTTGCCTGGCCGGTGTGGCTCCGTGGTTGAATGTTGACCCATGAACCAAGAGGTCACTGATTCAATTCCTGGTTAGGGCACATGCTTGGGTTGCAGGCTCAATTCCCAAGAGGGGGCGTGCAGGAGGCAGCCGATCAATGATTCTCTGTCATCATTGATGTTTCTATCTCTCTTCCTCTCCCTTCCCCTCTCTCTAAAATCAATAAAAACATCTGTTTTAAAAAAAGTTGTTTTATTTAGTCTTTCAGCAAACACTTCATTGAGTCATCATCAACGGGCCGTAGGAGCTCCATAGAAGCACCTGGGATGGTGGGAGCGACAGACATACTGTATAGAGAAATAACTTCAATTCAGGGCGATAGTTCTAAGAACGATGCTGACACGGGCAAGAAGGAAGTAACTGTTTATGGATTCAGGGAAGGCCTGAGCTGGGACCAAGTAGGTGCAGGAGGGTCTGCAGGCAGATAAGGAGCAGGAGAGCATTCTTGAGGGGTGGGGGTGAGGAGACAGCATGCTCAAAGGTACAGAGGTAGGGCTCTGGCCAGGTAGCTCAGTTGGTTAGAGCATCATCCCGGGATGCCAAGGTTGCGAGTTCGATCCCCAGTCAGGGCACATACAAGAGTCAACCAATAAATGCAAAAACGAGTGGGACAACAAATGGATGTTTCTCTCCCTCCTTCCCTCTCAAATCAATCAATTAAAAAATAGGCACAGAGGTAGGAAACAGCAAAGTGTGCATTGAAGTTAAATAAGAACAAAGGCATATCCTAAGCTTCACTTCATGAGTGCATAGGTGAGCCATGTGGTCAAACTCGTTACACCCGGCGGCAGGGACACTACGACTTTTACTGCTGTAACATTGTGGCGCCTTTCACCTGTATCTGTGATGAAGGGAAACGAGACCAGAAGCAGCCTTCAGAGAGGTCTGTGAAGTATGTGTAGTAGGAGAGCAGGAGGAGGGTGGCTAGAGGATGACTGTGAGGCAAGAGCCAGATTAAGGGGAACTTGGCTATTTTGCCAAGGAGTTTGTGTCCATCTCCCACCCCCTTCCTCTCTCGGAAGTCAATAAAAACATATCTTTTTAAAGAGGAGGAAGCAATGCCAGAGTCACATGCTATTGAGAGGTCGAGGGAGGAAAGGTTCTGCAAGGAGGAGGTCCCTGGTGACCTCAGCTGGAAAGTTCCAGGCACTGGTGGGGGTGGCGGGGGCCGCACTGGGACAAGGCGACGAGAAGGGGGGAAACAGTAGAGCACAGTGCTAGGGAAGTGGGAGGGTCAGCAGGCAAGGACGGCCACCAGTGTTGGGGATGATGATGATGATGACAATAGGGATGACAACAGCTCGCTTTTTAGGAGAACCAATATGCCAGGCACTGTGCTACGCACCGAGCATGCTCCTTGCCACACTGAGATGGGTTCTGTTCTTGTTCCCATTATATATATTCTTAATAGAGAGGAAGGGAGAGGGAGAGAGAGAGATAGAAACATCAATGATGAGAGAGAATCATGGATTGGCTGCCTCCTGCCCACCCTCTACTGGGGATCCAGCTCACAACCCGGGCATGTGCCCTTGACCAGAATTGAACCTGGGACCCTTCAGTCCACAGGCCAACACTCTATCCACTGAGCCAAACCAGTGAGGGCTTGTTCCCATTTATACAGGAAAGAAAACAAGCTCAGAGAACACAGCCAGTAGGTGCAGAAGCGGGATCTAAACCTTGACTTTAACCACAGGGTCAGTCTGAATGAAGGGGGCTGGTCTGAGGCTACTTCAGAACTCACTCTCTCCTTCTCCCCAGTCCTCTCCCTGTGTGACAGTACTGCAAATCCACTGTCACTTATTTAGGCCACCACTATTTGTTGACCTCTACTGTGTGCCAGATAATGGGCCAGACACTGGTGATGCAGAATGGATCAAAGCGGCTACAGCCCTGCAGGCACTCGGGGTGGAGAGGAAAGGCTGGCTGGTGGGCAGGCAAACTGCACCATCTAGTGTGATATGTGTTATGATGGAGGATGGACCACATACAGAGGGAGCCCTGGAGAAGATGAGAGCAGACAGAAGGAAAGGGATCAGGGCACCTCTCATGTGGCCCAGACCTGACCCCAGGATCGGGAGCTCCTGTGGAAGATGCTGAGTAGATACACATGTTGCAAAGTTCCCTGTGGCGGGGGTAGAGTTGGCAGTCAGAGGGGTTAAGATGGAATACGGAACAACTTCTGAAATGATGGCAAGTGCCAGAATGTAAGTTTCACAGGGCAGGGCTTTCTATGCGTTGTGTTCACTGGTGTATCTCAAGCATTCACACCAGCTTCTGGCACATAGTAGATGCTCAGTTAATACTCAGTGAACGAATGAACAAGTGAGTGGGTGAATGTTTGAGTGTCTCTGGGCGTGAGGTAGGGGACCTAGACTGGAGTATCAATGGGGGTGGAGAGAGGGGCGGTGCAGGGGCTGAAATCTAAACAAGGGGCGATTGGCAGTTGGGTGTCATGGGGTGGGAGGGTGACTCCCAGGTTTCTGACTCCCGGAGAAGGGAGGAGGAGCAGGAGGAGGAGAGAGTTGATGGGTCAGGGCTTGCTGACTTTGAGGTTCAGTGGACTGTCCCAGATGAGGGTTGGATAATGCTTTCGAAGCACGTGTAATATTCTGTCTGCCTCTTCTGTCATATTCTTGATGCGCTGGACAAATATCTTTGAGCACGGTCAGCAATAGGTGGTAACCGAAGCCCTGGCACGAGTGAGGTCACGCTGAGCGGCTTGCAGGTGCGCAGAGCAGAAGGCCAAGGCCCAGGCAACACCTGCATTTATGAGGGGGCAGGGGAGGGAAGCCAGGAAGGGGCATGAGAAGGAGTGTCCAGAGATGGAACCCCAGAAAAAGTGGTGCCGTGGAAACCAGGGAGGAGAGAGGAAGGAGGGAGGAGGCAGCCACAGGGCAGGTGTCTCAGAGAGGGGTGACTGGTCCTGCATGGTGGAGGGAGGTGATGTGGAGGAGAGGAAGACGATGTGGGTTTTGACAACCTTCCTCGGGGCTGGGTTGTAAGCTAGAGGGAGACGGGACGGCAGTGGAGGATACGGAGTCCGTGAGGCCTGGCCCCGGTTCTTTGGGACAGTCTCCAGCACAAGGGCTTGGGTGGACCAGCGGGGGCCGTTTTGCTTCCCCCAGAGAGAAGGGAAGAAGGGAACGTTGGGGACGGATGAATGTGTGTGTAAGATGTTCTCTACTTGATAGCATGTATTATTTATTTAAAATAAAAAAGTATTGATTTCAAAGAGGAAGGGAGAGAGAGCTAGAAACATCAGTGATGAGAGAGAATCATCCATCGGCTGCCCCCTGCTGGGGATGGAGCCCACAACCCGGGCATGGAGTCAGGGGATCAAACCAGTGACCTCTGTGTGCATGGGGTCCTATTAAACTGTAGGACGGTCAGGTCTGGCGTCCAGGTCCTCCTGGAGTTCCCACTGTCCTCAGTGGGAAGCCCAAGTCCTTACAGGGGCCTACGAGGTCCAATCCAGTCCGCTGCCTTAGCTCTCCCCCTCGCCCCCGTGCTGTTTCCTGGGCACCCGGGCACACTCCTGCCTGCTCCATCAGGCTCTCCTGGACCACGCCACGTAGCACTGCACCCTGTGCCCTTCCTGCTCACTCCTTACCTGCACTTTTCCAACCTTCTTTATGCTTTCTCTTTGTTCTTAGCCTTCGACAGCACTCACCGGTTTATGTCTGTTGTTTGTCAGTCTCTCCCCTCTAATGTCAGGGCCACAAAGACAAGGATCTTTGTGGGTTTTGTTGCTGTTTTCAAGGGCCTAGACTGTGCCTGGTACAGAGGAGGTGCTCAATCAATATTTACTGAAAGAAGGAATTCTGAGCCTCGGAGATGTGGGCATGTGACCTCAGCCCTGCCAATCTGATGCCTTCATGCTCTGCTCTGCGGGGCAAGTAACCAGAGCAGAGGCAGGTGGGATCCCTCTGGCTTTGTTAGTCATGCCAGTGGTGTGGTGCCCTGTGCCAGGCCCTGCTGAGAGACAGCCCTGCTTTTTGCTTCTTGGCTCCACCTCCATGTGGTCCCCACCCCCCATTACTTTTCTTTTTTTTTTGCTAATAGGTCAGAGCCCGTTTCCTAGGCCCCTGACTGGTTCATTCAGAATCACTAAGGCCAGTAGCTTTTTGGTCATTGTCCTACTTAATCTCTCCATGGCATTTGATCCCCATGACCTGCCTGCACATCTCACCTCACATTCCTCAGCCGCCTTTCCTGGGGTCCTGTTCCCCTGCCCATCCCACCTGGACCCACATGACTTTCCCAGGAAAAGCTTATGCGCACCTGCAGTTTCTACCTTGACTTGTGTGCCCATGACTTAGTCCTGACTGCTCTCTAGTCCTAGACCTCCTTTCCCAGGTCTTCTCAGACCACGCCTACTTAGATTTGGTCATGGAGACCCACACTGTACTCAGCATCTCCCTGTCCCTGGACCCACCTTCCTCTTGTAGGTCCCATCTCACTTCACTCTCTTCTGAGATCAAACTTAAGGGTCCTTCTCAGCTCTTTATCTCCTCATTCCTCTGGATCAGCTGCCAAGTTTTCTAAAATCTACCTGTCGCCTGGCAGGTGTGGCTCAGGGGTTGAGCGTTAAACTATGAACCAGGAGGTCATGGTTTGATTCCAGGTCAGGGCGCATGCCCAGGTTGTGGGCTCGATCCCCAGTAGGAGGCATGCAGGAGGTGGCTGATCAATGATTCTCTCATCGTTGATGGTTTTTTTTCCTCTCTCCCTTTCCCTTCCTCTCTGAAATCAATAAAAACATATATATTTTTTTAAAAAAAAAACCTACCACATCAACATTCTTAAGTTTCTCTAATTTCTCTAAACACAGTCCTTTCAGCCCTAAGCATCCTTGCAGCTGACCCTGACAGCTGCCACCCAACTGACCATCTTCCTTGTCACTCTATCCTCCGTGTGGCTCCTGAACCAATCTCTGGACCACACTCTGTGTCCTGGGCATTGACTGGGCGGGTTCCAGGATCCACCCTCAGGCAGCTCTCTATCTGAAGGGGAGCCCACACCCCAGAGACAGACAGACTCTAAGCTGAGAGAACAGACAGCCCACCCACCCTATGGCTTCAGTCTCTGGCCCCCTCGAGCCAAGTGACAGATCACACAGCTCCAGGTTCACACTCACCCTGAAACACAGAAAACAGGCCTCATCAGGATGAATGGAAGAGTGTCCTTGCTTTGAAGGAAATGCCAATGAGGGATAACTTAAGCTAATTATTGAGTCATGCCGGAAGCCAATTTATAGACATTGTCATGTTACAAACATCATTTCTTAGCAGAGCGGCTTGGAGGCATCTGGGCAGCTGGGAGCCTGAGCTCATTATCTTCCCCTCCAACCTGCTTGTCTCTTCCTGCATCCCACCCGCGAGTCAGCATCAGCCGGGCCTCCGTTCCCCGCCTCCCTGTGGCCAGTTGCCTACAAATGCTGCTGATTCCGCCTCGAATACCTGTCCACACTTGTGGTCACTGCTTTCCTGAGGTCGTCACCATCCTTTGCGGCGACACTGGGTGAGTGGCTGAGTCTAAGCCTCCAGTTTCCTCATCGGTAGAGTAGGGTTTTTCTTTTAAACACAGTGAACATTTCACTGAGACCAAGTGTGCCAAACACCTCGCAGAGAGCTGGGCTCGGGCTGAGCGTTCAGGAAATGCTGCTTCCTTGTTCGCTTCATGCTTCCTCACCCTTTCCCCTGGCCAAGTGTGATCACATGACTTCCTTTGCTTAAGAGTGGTTTGTAATTAATTGCCCGTCCTACCGGATAAAGTCCAAATTTCTTACCAAGGCCTATGACCCTTTCGCTCACCCACTGCCCTCATCACTGCTCAGCCACACTGACCTCCTCCATTCATCGACTAAAAGCATAGTTTGCCCTGGCAGGTGTGCGTCGTCCTGTGCACGGAAGGGTTGCTGGTTAGATTCAGGTTGGGGCGCATGCCAGGGTTGCAGGCCTGAGCCCCCAGTGGGGGCGGTGGGGGGAACAGCGGATTGATGTTTCTCTCTCTTACTCTCCCATCCTCTCTACATATCAACAAAACACTCTTTAACAAAACAGTAAAAACAAATAAAAACATAGTCATTTCAAAGTATTGTCTCACAGATTACGTGCTGGTCCTAAAGAAGAAACTTCTCAGCCAAGGAATCAGCGGTCATCAGCGGAGCCCGCCAATCAGCCCATCAGCATCCGAGTGGAGCTGGCAGTGGGCTCAGGCGCGGGAGGAAGCCTGAATGTAATCAAGCCTGGAGATCTAATTCCCAGTTGACAGGAAGCAGAGGGTACACAACACAACCAGAAAGCAACCAGACAAATCTAGAAGGTGGGACATGGCGTGTGTAATTTACTTAAAATACTTTATTTAGCAATTCAACAACTCAGTGCATAGGGGAGAAGCGCTACTCTAGATTTAAATGAGGCTTAAGAGATATAACCACATGCAACACGCAGATCTTATCTAGATCCTGGTGGAAACAAACCAAGTGTGAAAGAAGCATTTTGGGGGGCACCATTAGGGGAATTTGAATATGGGCTGGTTCTTAGATGATTTTAAGGGGTTCTTGTTAATTTTGTAAGGTGTGGTTATAATATTGTAGTAAGAAAACTTCCTGAAGTATTTAAGAGCGAACAGTCGTGAAAACTCTAAATAACTTGAAAAGATTACAGTAAAAATGATAAATATGCTAAAATGTTAATAACGATTACCATGACTACCTATTTAGGTAATGGGCATATGGAGTTCATTTCACGATTCTCTACTTTTTTCCCCCTTCAGTTTGAAGTGTGTATAATGAAAAAGTTTAAAATATGGATTTGAGTGTCAACTATGTACTCATGACTGAGCTAAGGCAAAAATCTAATGTGGTCCTTATCTCCCTGAAACATGGAGTGTGTCAGGGGTGAGGTGAGTAATCAATTCATCACAATGATCTATGAACAGTGACAAGTGAATGAACACGCATGAAGGAAGGAACACAGATCTCCAGGGGGGATAATGGTGGAAGCTGACCTGGTCACAGCCCACAGCGGGGGGAGAGGTTTTCTCTGAGGCAGGAATGATTCAGGGGAGCTCAGAATAGGAGCAGGTGTGGGCCAGGCACAGGAGAAGGGCAGTGGGCGAAGTGCACAGTCAGAAGGAACAGTATGTGCTAAGGTAGGCGAGGAGGGATCTTGTTGCTTTAGGCACTCAAGGTGGTCTGGGCAGCTGAAGGGAGAGAGGAGGTGGAGGGGAGGGGACCCGTTCCCAGATTCACCTGTGAGTCAAGCGAGTGATTGCACTCTTCATTCTGAAGCAAGGGGAAGACATGAAACGGGTTTAAATGGGAGTGGGTGGGTGGGTGGGTGGGGGTGTAACACATCCCAATTCGTGGCTTAGAAAGATAACAGGTGGCTATGCAGAGGGCATGGCAGGATGTGGGGGGGCTGCTGGAGTGGGCTGGAATGGAGCTGGGGAGACAGACGTGGGGTGTCATGAGCACAGGACTGGCCGAGGCGTTGTCTGGGAGGTGCCAGGATGACCCCTGGCTGTGGAAGTGGGTCGATGCAGGAGCCAGACACTGGGAAGGTTTTCCTTGGAAATGGACAGTGTGGCAGGGGAGAGGGTCCCTAATGGCTTGCTGGGCTTTTGAGATGCCCGAGATAGGAGCCGAGTGGGCAGCCAGGTGTCATGGTCGGAGCTGAGAGGAGCGGCGAGGGCCGAGCTCCCCGGTGGCTGGATGGTAATTGCGGAGTGGGCACGGGAGACTGTCCAGAGAGAGAAGGGAGAAGTTCTGCACTGAACCTTCGGGCTGAGGGAGGGAGAATGAGCCTGTGCTGAAGACCCAGGGGAAGCAGAGCGAGGCAGGGAGACACCAGGAGAGCCAGGTGCCTGGAAGGCAGGGGACTAGAAAGTTCCTGGAAGGAGGAAGTGGCCAATCACGTGGGACCCTGTTGAGAGGTCAGGACCGAAGGGCTGACAAGAGCCGGCCAGTTTTAAAGAGATGGAGGCCACTGGGGCCTCAGCAAGAGCTATTTCGGTGGCAGTGGAGGTAGAAGCAGATGGAAGTGGGTTGAGGAGTTAGTGGGAAGTGAGAAAAGGAAGACAGTGTCTAGACAGCTGTTGTGGGAAGTGTGGCTATGAAGGGGAGGAGAGATGGGGGCTAGAGCCTGCAGGGTCCAGGGAAGATTTGGCTTTTTAAGGGGAGAGACATACAAGAGAGATACAGGATGACTCTGAGAGGGCAGAGGGACAGGACCGCTGCCAGGGCATCCTCTCCACTTAACAGGAGTAGGTGGCTGCTGATGGCTGCAGGTGGCAGCAACAGGACAGGCGCTGCTTGGCTCTGGAACTCGTCTCCCATGCCTCCTTTCTGTGGCCCTGCTGATCTTTAGAACCTACGTGGAAGGTTATCTTCTCTGAGAAGACTTCCCTCCTCAAGGCCACCCTGTCTGGACGACGGTCATTCCTCTGTTGCTATTTTTCAAATGAGCCGGAACACCCATCTCTCCCACCAGACTGTGTCTCCGTCATTTCCGAGTCTCCAGGGCCTGGCTACAAGGTGGATGCTCAGTGATTGTGGATACATAGATGAATGGGCTCATTCTAAGCATGTGAAGAAGGTACAGCAGGAGGGCAAGCCTGGAGCAATTGCTGGGGATGTGGAGTAGGGATGGGCAAAGGGAAGAAACAGGAGAACGGGAAAAGGTTAAGCCTCTCCCAAGAGCACTTGCATTTATCAAGGGCGTCATGGACCAGGAGGTAAACACGGGGTTCTCATTTACTCCTCACTGTATCCCCGGGAGGAACACTGACTGCTTGAATATAACCTGGCTCCCCCTAGTTTACTAGAATGTAAGCTTCTGGGTGGGTGGGATTTGTTTGTCTTGCTCACCACTGTGCCTCCAACACTAGCTAGGCACGTAGATATATAGGGCTGCCAGGTGAAATGCAGGATGCCCAGTTAAATTTGAATTACAGAGAAACAATAAATACTTTTTAGCATAAATATGTTCTGTATTTCTTGTGCTAAATTTGGCAATCCCGTGCATAGTAGATGTTTAATAAATGTTATTGAATAAACATTACTTAATTACAGGACACCCGGGGGATACGATCAGTCAATTCCAGACTGTGGGAAACCTAGATGATAGTCTGGTACAGGGGTGGGCAAACTTTTTGACTCGAGGGCCACAATGGGTTCTTAAACTGGACCGGAGGGCCGGAACAAAAGCATGGGTGGAGTGTTTGTGTGAACTAATATAAATTCAAAGTAAACATCATTACATAAAAGGGTACGGTCTTTTTTTTTTTTAGTTTTACCGGCTGGTCTGGTATCTTCAGCGAATAGGTTGCGAGGAGAAAACAAGAAGAGATAAAGGAGGAATGTACACATCAAAGGGAGTTAAGCCCGCCGGTGCAGCTCAGTTGGTTGAGCGTCCTTCCATGTACCAAGGGGTCACCATTGGATTCCTGGTCAGGGCACATGCCCAGGTTTTGGGCTGGATCCCAGTTTGTCCCCAGTGGGGGGGTACAGGAGGCAGCCGATTGATGATTCTCTCTCATCATTGATGTTTCTTTCTCTTCCTTCCTCTCTGAAATCACTAAAACTATATGTAAAAAAACCCAACAAAACAAAACCACATAGTGTTTCCCCTGATATTTCCAGTAGCCACCTGGCACCATGAGTAGCTATTGCAATATTATTGACTCTACATAATCAAACATTTTTTTAAAAATATATTTTATTGATTTTTTACAGAGAGGAAGGTAGAGGGATAGAGAGTTAGAAACATCGACGAGAGAGAAACACCGATCAGCTGCCTCCAGCACATCCCCCACTGGGGATGTGCCCGCAACCCAGGCACATGCCCCTGACCGGAACCGAACCCGGGACCCCTCAGTCCGCAGGCCGACGCTCTATCCACTGAGCCAAACCGGTTTCGGCCAAACATTTTTAATTGTATGAAGGAAGATGCTATTTCTGTTTTACAGATGAAGAAACGAAAGCAGAGGTTAGGTAACTGGCCCCCAAATCACACAGCTGGTAAAATGATGAGGCTGGCATATGCATAGACCCACCTGAGTCCAGACCTTCAGCTATTAACTCCAGGTGCACATTTCTGGGAGTAGAGCACAGTGTGGGCATGGGTAAGGGGCGATGCATCCCTGCTGGTTTGGAACCCAGATCCTGCCTTAGGAGATTCTAGACCAGCCGTGGGCAAACTACGGCCCGCGGGCCGGATCCGGCCCCTTTGAAATGAATAAAACTAAAAAAAAAAAAAAAAGACCGTACCCTTTTATGTAATGATGTTTACTTTGAATTTATATTAGTTCACACAAACACTCCATCCATGCTTTTGTTCCGGCCCTCCGGTCCAGTTTAAGAACCCATTATGGCCCTTGAGTCAAAAAGTTTGCCCACCCCTGTTCTAGAAGCAAGATAGGCAAAATGGTGGTGGGTACGGTGTGGCAGGGCAAGAAATGGCTTCCCTCTAGGATTCATTGTCATGGGGTAGACAGACTCTTGGTTATGAGCATGGACTTGGGACCTGGGTTGAGTCCCGGCTCTGACACTTGCTAGCAATGTGACCTTGGGCAAATCTCACTTAAAGTCTCTGCCTCTCACTTTCCTCATGTATAACATGGGCATTAATGGAAATGTAAAATGGCACAGGATGGCCAGCTTAGAAAACAGTTCTGCTGTTTCTTCAAAAGTCAAACACGGATTTACCATGTGACCTGGAAATTCTACTTTTCACATGAACACTTATGTCCACACAAAGACTTGTATGCAAATGTTCATAACTATTATCTACAGTAACTGAAAAGTGGGAACAACCCGAATGTGAATGGATAAACAAACTGGTATCTCCACACCATGGGACACTACTCAGCAGTAAAAGGGGCTCTAATACATACTACAGCAGGAATGAACCCCAAAACAGTATGCTTTTGCCCTGGCCAGGTGGCTCAGTGGGTTGGAGTGTTGTCCCGCACACCAAAAAGGTTGCGGGTTTGATTCCCTGTCAGCGTACATACCTAGGCTGCAGTTCCAATCCCTAGACAGGGTCTGTTTGGGAGGCAACTGATCGATGTCTCTCTCTCTCTCTCTCTGTCTCTGTCTCTCTCTTTCTCTCTCATCAATAAAAACCATATCCTCCTTGGGTGAGGATTAAAAAACCCCACATTATGCTTTTGTGAAAGAAGTTGGATGTAAAAGGCCACACATAGTGTGATTCTGCTTCTATGACATGTCCAGAAAAGGTAGCTCTAGAGAGAAAGAAAGTAGATTGGTCACTGGGGCTGAGGGTAGGAATGAGGAGTTAGTTTAAGGGGGGGAAGGGAAGGAATGAGGAAATATTCTAAAATTGGATGGGGGTGATTGTCATAGAATTACAAATTTAATAAAAATCATTGAATTGGGCATTGAAATTGGGTTATGTATGGTATGTAAAATTTAAAAAATATAGCATCACCATAGCCAGCTTGGCTCAATGGATAGAGCGTCTGCCTGCGGAGTGAAGGGTTGGGGTTCGATTCCAGCCAAGGGCAGGGACCTGGTGGCAGGCTCGATCCCTGGCCCTGGTTGGAGCGCCTTCGGGAGGCAACCAATCGATGTGTCCCTCTCACATCGATCAAAGTTTCTCTCTCTCTCTCTCTCTCTTTCTCCCCTGATGGGAAAATGTCCTCAGGTGAGGATTAACAAAAAATATATGTATATACAATATACATAGAATCTTATAAAATTGTTGTGGGGATAAAGTAACATACAATTCTTAGACCTGAGACCGGAATATAGTGAGTGCTATAGGAGTTATTATTGGGCTGGATCTCTGGGGCCAGTTCCCTGCCCTAGGCAGCTGCCTCCCTCCCAAATTCTTGAACACAGGCCTCTGGGCCACGGTCCCGGAAGGGCTGGTTTCCAGGTCCCTTAGGGGGCATAGAATACGCCTTATTTCGGAGGTGTCGGTTGGAACCCCGCATCTAGCCTTGTCCCCTTTTTCTATGGGGAAACAGGGGTTCTGAGAAGGGTGTTGTTGCCTCTCATCCCACTGGCTGAGGACGGGGTCGAGTGACCTCTACTGTAGGTAACGGGAATTGCAAGAGGGGGGCCAGTCTTCTCCCATCATGTTCCCTCCCACCCTCCTGACAGTGCGGTGAGGTGAGGCAGCTACTGTTGTCCCCTTTTCTCTGATAGGGACATGGAGACTCCAAGTGTCCAGGTGACCG